TTTTTGTGTAGTTATGTGCCTCAAGATGTGATAGTCATTTTTGAAATACAAGGCATTCATTTTTCCTCATGCATTCATTTTAGAATGACCAGCATTTCTGTTCATCATTCTGGATGCGTCAAAATATATCTTTTTACTTGTAGTTAAAAAATGTCCAATAATTATGTACAATTGTATAAACATGTAAAGTTGCTAGTAAATTAGAGTCATTTTATATATTTCATATTCTTATATTGTTGAAAACATTGATTCCAAACCTTTGAATGCTGTATGAATGCAGTCATTTCTAATAGACTTGATCATGTGGTTTCTGACACTGTATGACATGGACTAAAGTACATTAGCATAGCTAACACAGTAGTAGCCGCCATGTTGAAGCGTGAATTTTGTCCATCTGTCAATGCTGTTCACCTTGCAGTGGAAGCTTAAACTTCATTAGTTTAATATTTGGTGTTGGGTTAAAATGATTTAGCTACATATTACTTTTCATATTTCAAGCTTAAAACAGCTTTTATACTTTTAAATGTATAATAGTCTTATGTACATTTAAAAAATAGCAAACGTGTCCTAATGTGGACTGGATGCAGTTGGATGCAGTTTTACCATGTGGGCAGAAGATGGCGACATGAAACAAGTTTTAATGTGTGGAGTTTGTCAGACTGTGCATGCAGTTTCCAGAAGCCTGTGAACATTATTCAACTTCAAATTGGAAGTTTAAAAAGAATAATTATAAGTCGGTCCCGCATAGAGAAACAATAGAATAATTTATTACTCTATTAAACTGACAGAATGGCGTTTAGAGGAACCTTAATGTTTCAGGAGAAGATGCATTTTGAATACACTGGACTTTACTAACATCTGTAGGACCTGACTGTCAGATGTCCCCGTCCATATAGCATCTTACAGTGTACTTTGTGAAGCTGATGTAACTGAATATCTATAGCAAAAATTAACTACATATTGCTGAATTGTCTGTACATTAGCGTATTGTATTTTTAACAGTTGTCTGCATTTAAAAGATAAAATTCTTGTTTTCCCAACCAATCTTACGTTAAAATGTAGTGACTTCTTTGTCCCGCCACTAAAACGTCTTCTGATTTTTGATTACATCACCGTTCACCAGTGGAGAAAAACAATATTGACCAAAAATATCATGTTTCACCTCCCCTTCCCACCCTCAGCTGGCTTAGAGACCCTCCCTGAGACCGTGAGTGCGTATACATGCACTCACTAATCATCCAAAAATCCAATCATAATTGGATTTCTGCAGTTATCTGATTATTCAAATGGTCATGTAAACTCCATACTCCCATCTAGAAATCTGATTAAGAAAGAGAGCTGGATTTTAGCTTAATAATCAGGAGCTGTATTACAGAAAATTCTTAGGTCTGAGATCTGCTTTGTTGCAATGGTAACTTCAGTTAAAACTGAAGTTCGGACAGAATACAGAACAACAGTTCTTAAGTCTATAATCTTATTTCCAGATGAGAAAACAGTTTTACAGAAACATCCTAAGTTGCCAAAATAACCTAAACATTTTCTTAACTTTAAGGTAAACTCCAGAGTCTTAACTTCTGTTTCTGTTGTTTTATGCAGTGAAAGGCAGCCCAGTTCACTATAAGTAGCATAACGATGCTGCATTTATCTACACTGAAAACGGTGCTATAACTTTTTTTTTCTATAACAGCGTTTAAAAGCCCCAGACGCTGCAGACTCGATCTCCACCGTCCCTCTGATCACCTTCGTGTGTTAATGTTGATGATGAAATGTTACAGTGATGGTGGTGAATAATGAGGAGATGGAGCTGAACGTGTGTCTGTTTATTATGAGGAGTAACGTTAGCGCGCTCGGCTAAAGCGCTTGGGACATGGAGACTGAAACTGGAGACAGCGTTGCTCTGATAAACAGCAGGGGGCGCTGAGACAGCATTTTTAGCTCTCAGTTTATCGAGTTTTAGTTTTGTTTGACCTTCTTTACATCAGTAACGGTAGCTAACGTTAGCTGCCTGACTACCTAGCTTGATTACATGTTAACGTTTCAGCTGTGCGCGTAGGGTCGGTTGTTAGGTAACAGACACGACAGTTGATTGTCGACTTCAATCGAGTAAGTTAAGATAAGAAAAGATGCTGTAAGATAAGATTCTTAAATTAAGATCAGTTTTGCTTCTGTAATACGATTTTGTGAAAAATCTTACCTTGACCTGTCAGATCTTAAGTTAAGACAAAAAGATAGGAAGTTTCTGTAATACGACCCCAGATCTACTTTACATGGGTGAACTGGGGCCTCATTTGTAAAATTTTGGTTGGATTTCCGAGTGAAATATTCATTTAGAAAACCTTGTGTATGCGGGTACATAGCATATATTCATAACATATTTTTTGAGAGTTTTGTTTCTCAGAAGACCTACCACATGGCATTGCATTGACCTCACAGAGGATACTGAACTAAGGCGCCTCATGAGTGAAGGGAGGCTGCACAGAGCTGTAGACTGCCAAAAAGTTTCTGCCAGTGCGCAGAAGTCCTAGTATAGCTGCTCACTTCACAACAATTTATGTTACGATTATGTGACTATTGTCTGTACTACAAAGTAACTACATATGGAGCACTGTGAGAGAAAATATTCTCAATATATGTTATTTTCCCTTATGTTATTTTCTTAAGGTCTAAACCATTTTCACTGTAGAGAGCAAATGGCAGAAGTAGTGATAACTGTCACACTCTCACCTTGCCCCCTCCCTCCTTTGTTTGTATTTAAATGACCCTTCGTCTCATGACCTTAAGGTGATACTATCACCCCCCCCTTATCTCTGCCCCCTACATCTCTATTCATACCCCTCGTCAACAACCCCTCATTACCCCTCCTCAAAGTCCTTTTGTTCCCCCTTCCCCCTCTTTAGTTTTTCAAAGTATATAAGGTCCTTCCAAAATATTCTTGTTAGACTGAACTGCAGACTAGACTGGACTGGTGACCAGACCAGACTGGTGACACACTGATGACCAAGTTGTGCCCGTGCATGATTGTCTGCACGTGAATAAGACTAGACTCCTGATCCTGCTGATTGACTGCTGATCGACCACGCTGTACCCATACTCTGTATGTGGAAATAAACTCCAGTCAACGCTGAAGCTCCAGTCTCCTGACTCTTCTTGCCGAATTTCTAACACTGATTTGTAAGGTCCATATAAAGACCGTTCAGTTGACTCATAAAGGAACGTGTGTCTGAGTAGTAGTGCTATTTAGTTTATACACATCACTTTATTCAGAAAACCTGTGTTGCTAAAGGGCTATCGGATGTTTACAAACATTCCCATATGTTTAAAACTCAGACTAAAGCCAAACCTTTTTTTTCTTTTAGCGATAGTTTTGTTCAGTTCTGTATTTTGTGGCTCCATTATTTTGTGATTTTGGGTTACTTACACTCATGTTGTATAGTGTGCTATAGTGTAGTTCTAAAAGCCTCATTCACCATTTTGGAGAAAGAACATTTCACAGCTCTTTTTGCCTGTAGCCAGTCAACATTCACTGTCAAATTATTTAGACTACCTGAGGCCAGACTTCACACCATATAGTCTGCTAGGACTGTAAAAAATAGCAGCCACCAGAATTCAGTGCTGCAACACAGGTAGAGCTGATCCTCCACTGGCCAGCGAACCTGCAAATAACCTATACGTGCTGTTTATCAAATACAGTTAGATTTCACTCAAAACAAGCTATGTGAGGTTTGTAAGACAGCGCTCAGGAAGCATGAGCTCGTTAGCGTTTTTAACTGTACACCAAATACTGACTGATCATCTGAAATGACATGATATATTTGGATCAGCATTCTGACAATGCATAGCAAATCAAATGGTAAAATAGGGAAAGGATGCAATGTAATTGAAATGGCAGGTGTTTACACTGAAAATATATTTTAATAACTTGACATTGCTACTCACAGCAATTCAGAATATGAAATAAATGTTTGTATTCTTTAACTTTATTCCTAAGCTTTTGTTAAAAAAAAGGATTTCTTGCGACTGGAGTGTTTGCAGTCATGTAAGTGAATTTATTTGGGTATATCTGACTGTCACAGTATATAAAGGGAACAGAGATCAGGCAGTCGGCATTAAGAGCATATCAAAATTCAGAAAATGAAAAACAGGCTAGAAGCTGAGGACTACAGGAAAACCACAAAACTAACAAATCAATAGCTAGAAATACTATGATCAGCAGCCAATTGCTAAGCAGTTCAGCCAGTAGGTGTTCTGTAGGGTTTAGGTCAGGGGGCTGGGGTGGCCATGGCAAAACCTTGAATCGGTCAGTGATCCATTTTTGTGTTGATTTTGAGGTCTGCTTTGGATCAATTTTCTGCTGGATGATCCAAACCGTGGCCCATTTTAAGCTTGTTGGCTGTGGTAGTGGAGTTTCAGTTTTATTTTTGATTTATTCAGATACATGGTCTGATCCAGTTCAGTGAGATCATAGCTAACATCTACAACTCCAGTTCAGTGAGATCATAGCTAACATCTACAACTCCAGTTCAGTGAGACCATAGCTAATATCCACAGGTCCAGTTCAGTGAGACCATAGCTAACATCCACAGGTCCAGTTCAGTGAGACATCTACAGGTCCAGTTCAGTGAGACCATAGCTAACATCCACAGCTCCAGTTCAGTGAGACCATAGCTAACATCCACAGCTCCAGTTCAGTGAGACCATAGCTAACATCCACAGGTCCAGTTCAGTGAGACATCTACAGGTCCAGTTCAGTGAGACCATAGCTAACATCCACAGGTCCAGTTCAGTGAGATCATAGCTAACATCCACAGCTCCAGTTCAGTGAGACCATAGCTAACATCCACAGGTCCAGTTCAGTGAGACCATAGCTAACATCCACAGGTCCAGTTCAGTGAGACATTTACAGGTCCAGTTCAGTGAGACCATAGCTAACATCCACAGCTCCAGTTCAGTGAGACCATAGCTAATATCTACAACTCCAGTTCAGTGAGACCATAGCTAACATCCACAGCTCCAGTTCAGTGAGACCATAGCTAACATCCACAGGTCCAGTTCAGTGAGACATCTACAGGTCCAGTTCAGTGAGACCATAGCTAACATCCACAGGTCCAGTTCAGTGAGACCATAGCTAATATCCACAGGTCCAATTCAGTGAGACCATAGCTAACATCCACAGGTCCAGTTCAGTGAGACATCTACAGGTCCAGTTCAGTGAGACCATAGCTAACATCCACAGCTCCAGTTCAGTGAGACCATAGCTAATATCCACAGGTCCAATTCAGTGAGACCATAGCTAACATACACAGGTCCAGTTCAGTGAGACCATAGCTAACATACACAGGTCCAGTTCAGTGAGACCATAGCTAACATCCACAGGTCCAGTTCAGTGAGACCATAGCTAACATCCACAGCTCCAGTTCAGTGAGACCATAGCTAATATCCACAGGTCCAATTCAGTGAGACCATAGCTAATATCCACAGGTCCAGTTCAGTGAGACCATAGCTAACATCCACAGGTCTAGTTCAGTGAGACCATAGCTAACATCCACAGCTCCAGTTCAGTGAGACCATAGCTAACATCCACAGCTCCAGTTCAGTGAGACCATAGCTAACATCCACAGCTCCAGTTCAGTGAGACCATAGCTAACATCCACAGGTCCAGTTCAGTGAGACCATAGCTAACATCCACAGGTCCAGTTCAGTGAGACCATAGCTCTGTACTGGATAAATGTTTGTATATTGCAAGAAAGGATCAAGACCACAATGATTATAATAATTACAAACACTTTTGTTAGAGAAATGCTACATTTTCTTTATCGGTCAACACCTTTAATCATGATATCAATGTTATTGCATGGAACAGACATTGAAAATTTGGGAAAGAATCTATAAAATGTTAATGGCAGTGTAGTTAAGCTTAATCTGTGATCAGAATTTGTTCAGAGTTTTAAAATGTAGCACCCAAATTTAGAACTTTTTGCCGAAAAGAATTGCGTATGCTAAAATACATGAATTCATCTGTTTGTAGACCTAGGTTTTTTTTTTCACATCAGAAATTAGACTTGTCAATATTTTGGTGCTTCTGCATGTTGATCCTTGTAATCTAAGGCAAGCCTAAAGAGTTCCGCTGATCTACAATAAATAAAGACCCCTCTAACACAGAGTTCTTCGCTGGCCTACTCTTTCAATGATTCAAATGGTAATTAAGTAAAAATTAACAGCAGAAATGTATGTTTTAATGTAAAGCAACACAGTTATACACATTATTGCTTGCTCTCTGTCCATATAAACCAGTGCTTGCACTACTACTGACTGTAGATGGACTCTTCATCACCCCTTGAACACTACAACTCATCATGTACAATTTTGGCATCTTTCTCTATTGAGTTAATTATTTCTTTATACTCTTGTGTATTCCTATTGAGAAATTGATTTTCTTGCACCCAATTCATTAGACGCTCTCTTTGGTTTTGGTCAATGAGTCTCCTTTCCACATATTCGTTCACCATGTGCACAAAGCCATCCATGTAGTACTGGTTCCTTGCTCTCTCTGGAAGTCCAGAACTCCCCATGTTGAAATTGCACCTAATACCTGTCAATTAATAGGATGAGATTCATGGTAAATTAAAAAAGTCTAGTCAGGGCAAAATATCACTCTTCTACTAAAACTAAGCCTCTAATTCTGATACTGACAATAGCCTTCGTATTAAAGGGCTCTAGCATGATTCGCCCAAAACAGATGTAATATCCTCAAATTAAAGCTGAACATTCTGCACTTTTATTCTTATAGTTAAGTTAAAACTGAAAGTGTATATGGCCAAAACAACACAAACTGGAACACAGCACAAATTCACTTTCCAAACTCCTATGGAACGGCGCTATATTATGTCTTCGGAAGCCTTGTTTCATATATATGTATATACAGTAGGGGTGCAGGAAAAAAAAACGATTCTTAGATGCATCGCGATGCGGACGTGAACAATTTTGAATCTATTCACAAATGTCAAAAATCGATTTTCTAAATATTTAATTTATAACGTAATGTTGACGGAACGTGAAAAGCGGAACTTGGAAGTGGGTAAGTGCAGCGCCCGGACAGTCTGTGACGACACATAACAAAAACACTACTGGATGAGCAAGAAATCTGACCGGCTCCCTCTGCATTAAAGCCAGGTTAGATCAGGAGTCACGACACAAATGATAAGAAGAGACATTTTGTCCTTTCAACTATAATCAAACCACCTCAGCAGCCACAACATTTAATGTCCAGTATGTCCTAATATAGGCTAAACAATATAAACGGAAACGCTGACTTACTTTGCTCTGCTTTAAGCTTTAACTAGTTATAGCCGCTTTCCTCCCCTTTCCACCAGAAAACGTTTGCTTAAAAGTAGACCAGTTTATTGTAAAATGTCTCTCATCATTCGACTGTTTTATGAAGCTGAAGTCGCTTCTCATTCTCCAGCTTCTTGTTTGAATTTTCCCGCTCCACCTTAAATTCTGCCTGAGGCGCCGAATGTAAATGTGGCACCGTTTAAGGTGGAACGGGGCAATTTGAAAAGAGAAGCGACTTCATCTTTGCGACTTTTTGTGTTTGACAGTCTCTCGTTGCAGATTTAACGTATCAGGAAACCGACTGCGCTGCTTATGAATGTGAATAAGTCCATTCATCTCCAAATGTTCATCTTAAATCTGTGCCTTTTCGTTCTCTACTAGCCAGGCGAGACTTCTTTCCTAAGTGACCTGCAGTCTGCAGGCCAGTTCTCAGCCATTGAGAACCAGGGCTTTTGCGCTATGTTGCACACGTCCCGTCTCGAAGATATTTTACTGACACAGAGACTCCACCACTCTCTTCAACGAGACCAACACCGAAGTTATGAAATCACTGAAGAAAACGAGTAGAATAGCTGTAATGTGCTGCATAGACATCTATTACCACTGGATCTTATGTCACCCTTACAGTGCATTTTATCGCAGATGAGCGGCAGCAGCGTCTCATGTGCTCCAAACAGCAGTGAATGAGAGCCTTACAGTTCACTGACCACATCACTTCCATTTGATTTATTAATAAAAGATATTGGAGGTAAATGCATTATGGATCATTACAAATACTCTGCTTTAAAACTACCAAGTCCTCAGACCGTAGGAAAATAGAAATCCTGTATAGCAAAAAAAGATGCATCAAGATGCATCGATAATCGTTTTATAATCACATCGCAGCCTCTGAATCGTAATCGAATTGAATCGTGAGGTGCCTAGAGATTCCCACCCCTAATATACAGGTACTTGTCATGCACACGTGGTGGCGTCAAACTCGGGCTGGTGTAGAATCATCATGCAGAATAATTTTTTAAATACACTCCATACTTGAAAACACTATGCTTTGCATTCTCTACACATTCATTTTCATGAACAGTAAGTGTGATTGTGGGAGTCAATTTATAATTTACATAGCCTACTAGATGCCACTACATCGACTTAAACCATCTCACCTCTGCCACACATTGATCAGATCTGCGCTTTGTGTTTCTTTAAATTTGAAAATACATTATGTTGTCCAAAATCAAGCAAATACCACATAAAAATGGATGCTATTATGCAAATGTTAGCCTGACAGTTACATCTTAATATCTGGGCCGCACTTTTTCACATGGAGACAATTATACATGAAAAATGTTTCTTCTTCATTTGTGTACATGTGTGTCTTAAACAATCAGGCATAATCAAAGAGAGTAAAATAAATAGCAAGGGTACCTAGATCCCTTCGGATGTTTTCTGAGCTTTGCGGGTGAGCCATTATGAGTGAGAACCTCAGTAATCTCTCTGCATTTCCACTTGCCAAGATTTCAGCCAGGAGATGTCTAGGGACCATAAATGTAAAATAAACACACTGCTATGTTGAAAACCACTTAATACCAGACATTGAAATTGAATCAGTTCATTTGTTACTGGGCTGCAGTGTTTAGTAGTAGTAAGTTGTTTTAGTGCTGTTTGTATTTGCATGATTATGATATTGATGGTGTTAGCAAGTCTAGACCTGCATGTTATGGACTCCCTGCTGTTGCCGCTGGTCAGTGCACGTCTGTGGTCAAAGACCAGGGTGTTCATGCACAGCTGATTTGTTCCAGTCCTATCAGTCCTCATGCTCATTACCATATCATAGAGCCTACTATTATTTCTTTGTAGTGAAGCAGCTCTCTCTGGATGTGTTTCGATTTGGTTAGAGGCTTCAATCAGGGAACTCTTTGGCGGGATGTGATCTGCCTCTACCACCCCTGGGGTAGGTTTCTTCATGTTTTTAAGCCTTTTCAACATTGAAAAAAAAACAAACAACACTGTAATAATTAGCCATTAGTAACTTAATGTAAATTAAGTAATGTAAACACGTGAGTAATTGAAATCCTTTTTCATCAAAGTGACAGCGTTCTAATTATGATGTAAAATAAAATGAACAAGCCTAAGACAAGTAACTTGGCATTAACAAAATGAAAGAAATTACTTTTTATATTCCCCGACTTTTCCCAAGCTGTATTCATCGATAATTTTTTCTGGTGTCTTGTCTTCACTATAGTTGTAGTACTCATTTTTGTCTTCTTCCTTCACTCCAGCTTGGATTTTAAATTGACTGGAGATGTCTGTTCTGTTAAACATATTCTGGATGTTCACAGCATCAGCATACTTGCCTGGGTTTGAGAGAATCTGTAACAAACAGAAATGCTCACCAATCCGCTGATTAAAAACAAATGGATATGCACTCATTAATTACATAATAGTTTCACTGCTGCAAATGTGACAATTACAGTACTTTTACCATAAGTCCTCCTACCTTACTTCACTTAACTATATCACTTACCTCCTCCCTCACTTTGCTGCGGAGTTCTTTAGCTTTTTGTTTTACATCTTCAGAGTCTTTAGTTGTTGCTTGGATGACAGCGTGAAAAAGGCAGTTCTGATTTTCTGAATTCACTGCTTCTCTTGAGCCATCAGAGTGCATAATATCAACATGGCCACTGTGTGGAATGTCTTCACCCATCACCCTACTTATCAGTTTAGTAAATATCCCTCTATTTCTGAAAGAGCAATAAATAATGTTTATTAAAATGAGCATGAATAACACAGACAAATAAAATACCAACATTTGTGTGCATGTTGCATGTATTATATAATACTTTCAGTTTATTTTTACTATAAACAAAAACAATTTAAAACATCAAAAAATTTGTTTTGCTCACCTTTGAGGATTTTCTGGTGTTTTTGTCAGTCGGAGTGTGATGTTACCAGCTGCTGGGTCACTTCCTG